AACACATAGATTTGTTCGACCGAGTCCACCACTAAGTCAACTGGATGGTGTATCGACTGATGTCCAGTGGGGTCACATGGAGGCTGTCCTCGTAACGTAGCCAGGCTCGATGCGTAATCACCTCCAAATTAGGCTACTTTTTTGTAAGTGAGAAGGAAGTATATTAGTTGCAGTAAATAAAGTCAAAGATTAAAAATTATTAGAATAAAGCATTCGGTCGATTAGTAGGGAATTCAGATGCTTTGCGACTGTTGTGTCGAAAATCTGTTGCATCTATTGTTATTCGTATCGCAGTTACTTAGCAAAATATTTTAGAGCCGAAGTTAATTTAATAACTTTTTTCAGATATTAGGGTTCATGTATAAACAGTAGATTAACGTTCGAATTGAATAAACTAACCTCAGTACAACAACAAAGATGTTGTTATTGATACTTGAGATTTCTTATTACTACATTGGGTTGAATTGCTGGACCTTCTTTGGTCATTGGGTTCCCATGCGAATGCCTCTATACTACCTGAATATTTACTATGTTGGAGTTTATTTGGCGACTCTCGTGTCTCATTTGCCCAGTAGACAACGCCTTTGAGTTTGAATCTATGGATACTGTACTCCAGCCTCAGTGGGAACGATATCACTCACTGGAGTGGAAGTACATCTAGCTGACGAGTGCATACAGGACAAATCGCGCATTCTGGACTCTACTGCTAGCGATCAAATAAACTTCAACAAAGAAGATGTCATATTTAAAGACTAATTGTAAAAAATTTCAGTTCGATGAGATTTTGCAAAAACCAATAACTTGTAGTTACTAGTTCAGCTTTTACTTTTTATTGAGAACACAACCGTTTCTGTCCTCAAAATTGAAGCATGTCTGGGACAAAATAAGTAGACTAGATGTCAATGATGTTACTATGTCCAAAATTTTATAAAATGATTTCATAAAATTATTCCTCATAATAAATATAGACTGGGCAAGAACAACTGTTGTTTTCGCTCAATCTCAATCTGCAAACTGATTTATATACGCAAACGAGCTAATCTGTCTACTCTGGTAACTTAATTCTTATCTGAGTAACTAATTTTCAATTATAAAGTAATCCTTTTTTATTGATTTATTAGATGTATCACACAGTGTAACAGTATTGTTTACTGGATCCAGTAGATCAATAAAATGGAATTACATTCTACCACAGTACACAAGTTTTACTCTTATAAAGTAATCCTATAAAAACTGAGATTCCCAAACATTATCTGAAGGAATTGCTTTTACGATGTATCTTTAATAGACAGTTTAGATTCAATAATGAACTTTATCAACAAACGGATAGGGTAGCAATGGGTCCTCTCCTGGCAGATTTCTTCATGGCCAACTTGCAGAACAGTAAGCTGTGTCCACTGATCGACCAGTTCCATCTATACCAGAGATACATGGATGACACTTCATCATCTGTGAAGAAGATAGTAACCTTTTAGAAATACTATGAAAGTTCAATGAATATCATAACTCAGAACTCCACTTCCTGGATGTCCTATTGGAACGAAGACATTATGGTTCCCTAAGGAGATCGATTTATAAAAAAACCTACAATGATCAATATACTCATTTTCAGAGGTGGGTTCCACTAGTCAGGTAAATAAATCTACTTCATTCACTATGCACACGAACTAGAAGAATTTGTACAGATGCGGTAAGTGAGAAGCTGGAAATACTTCGAAGAGTGTTAACTGGAAATGGTTAACCTTAAAGGTTAACTGAAAGGAACGTAAGGGATAAGAATTTCAAAAAAGAAGCCACTGCGGTTCCAAAGAAGACACCATTTATGAATATTGGACTCAAAGGAGATAAATTGGCAGAGATATTGAAGAATCGACTGTGTAAAGTACTGAAGAAGACTTTTCCTCTCGGCTTCAGATTGTTTTCTCTAGTCAACGACTGATATAAGGGTGTGTAAGGAATAAACTACTGCTTTGGGCTACCTCTTTGTGTGTTTATCAGTTCACCTGCTCTTGTAGAGCTGGTTACATAGGCCGTACAAAGCGTGTTCTATAAAAACGCATCTTTGAACACTATCCTGCATGGCTGTTTAAAGGACAATGTAAAGACGTCAACAGCTCGATTCTTGAGCACATGGCCACTTCTGGTCACTGTACTCCATGACGGTCTTCTTCTGTAGTCATTTACAAAGTGAAGACAAACATTTCGAAGAAAGTGCGTACTTACCACCTAAAACACAATAGAAGTTCTAGCAATCCAGCATTACAAGCCTTCTCTTTTCGTTCAAAAAGGAAACATTAAACCTCTAATTTTACCTTGCTGGTAGTCTCCTTAAGACAGTTAATTCATTTCTATGTTTACTTACCATAGTCCTAAAAGCAATTTTTGATGAACGTTATCACCCTGTGGCTTTATTGACCGTTTTGATGACTTTGTATTAACCCATTAGTCATTGATGGATTTACATATATTTGTTGTAACTATGATTACGATACGTCAGAAAAAGATTTTCTTTGCTGAAGTGTCTTTTATTAATTTTTATTGTCTAGTCGAACTATTTTGATTGTTGAAAGCAGGATCTAATAAATTCGTATATTGTCAGCTGGAAACCCTAAGCGATTAAATCTGATTGTGTATGCCAAGCTGCAATGCATGAAAACAGATATAACTATGGAACACAAATCTGAGGTGTAGCTTACTTCAGATTCGTTACTTGTATCAGGAAATAAATGTTTTCAGTTGTGAAGTGGTTGACTTATCCTAAATTTTTTCCTTGAATTCATTTTCAATGGTAGATCACTCCTTATCTAACCAAAAGTATCAACTGGAGAAATCATAGCACTATGTTGAACTGGTAGTCGAGTGGTGTAAAACACAGGTGTTGAGTCTACCACCCAGCATCATCTATAGTGCATCTCCGGTTAGTTTCATAGCTTTATGGTTATATTACACACTTAACGGATAGAATTAAGTCAGCACTTCTGAATAGACAACACAACAATGGTTACATTCCGGTGACCAAGCTGCTATAACCGGTAATGCAACCAAGCAGTCCGCGAGTGATACAAATCTAACGAGCAAAAGAATCTACTCTAATAACTCATCAGAACGTCAACCACAACAACAACAGATCACCGGCTGATACGAAATATATAAATTCTAAATGACATTAAAAAACACTGAATTCACTAACAATTTAAGCGTTGACAACCAATAAGAGTTCGGCCTTCAGAAACAGTGGGAAAAACAAAAGCTAGCAATGGCTGCAAAAGAGCGCAAAATAGCTATAATAAAGTTATTTTAAGGTTATAGGCAAATATTCGGCGAGAGTTAGGTGAGATTCAGTTGACTCTTGGCACTTATGTTGAGTGAAACACTCATGTAACTCAAATATTAATGCATGTTCCAAGCTTTTGCTTCAGTATGTATGTAGGTGAAGTGTTGTCTTTTGCTATTTAGCACAGTCTTTCAGCGAGATAAAGTCTTTGCAGGATTGATATGGTAAAATGATTGCACAAAATACAATGCGTGTGCCACCCCAGGAGTAAATAGTGATTGTAAGAAATAGATGAGTTTACTTATTTTTTTAGTTTCTTCCACAGCCCCATCTGATAGGGATGAATTCTATGGAAGTTGGAAAAATCTTGGTCAAGCCTAGTGCGACTGTTAGCTTGACAAATTCGAACCTCATTTGTTTTGTGGAGAATTTTAAGAACAAATCATGTCAGTTGTACTCGATTAAGTTCTGAAACGAGGAATCTATAAGTAAAGATCCGAAGGAATGACTATTGTTTAGTCTTCTTCTAGTTTACTATGTCTCTAAACGTGATCAAAAAGAAACTTTTTACCCAGTGGTTTCAAGTTTTTCTCCCTCTAAGTCAGTTATGCCAGTGACTTTAGTGAAAATCTTGCCTCTTCTGATATCTGACGCGGTAACTCACTCATTGAACTGTTTGGATAGTAGTCTTAGCTGTAAGATATCTTTAACTTCATGAGAATCTTGAGGTTATAAATGTTTCAAAGTAAACCTTACCAATTAACCCAATAACAATGAAATTTGGATGCACGGCTTCCGGTATTCAGCTTACAATTGTGAGTTACTGATTGAGATCGCATCTGGCGGCCTGCTTAAACCTTAATCTACCGAAATTTTCCATGGAACATATGCGTCAAATTCTTTGCATTCAGTTTGTTTTAGTCATTTGACTATGTCTCCTAAATATAACATGTACTCTTGCACAGTTTTAAAATGTTTTCAGCTAGCTGTTACTCAAGTACGTAACAAAACGAAGAAAAAATGTCAAGTTAGATGGAAATGGACTTTTTGTTGTGCGAAAATTCATCATATTTGGACTCCTCAGACGTTTAGCTCGAATGGCAGATTCTTGTATTGGGTGAATGAATCGTCACCAACAAACGTACGTTCGATTTTCTATACATCCTTCATTCTAGATCGAAAGCTAATCCAATATCAGCTGACTGTTCAACATTATGCTTTTATTAGTGCTATTATTAACATCACTCGGATACAGTAATCCGTTCGTTTGAATATATTGTTTTGGTAGTGAACTTGCTGAAAATTCCGTACTGTATAAAACAAACTGTTTGGAATGAAGCGATTATTATTAAAATTATTATGTCATTCAGTACCACGATTGCATCACTTATATAAGGTACTTTCATCAACCCTTAAAAATGAAAGATGAACAGTTGATACCTCATTTCGTTTTTACGATCGGACTAACACAACCAAGTTGTTTGTCAACACACAGAAATCTAATTACTGGCTGGAACTAGTACATATCTGATTAGCGAGAATTTTTGCGTGTAAACCTAATAAGTGGATTTTTGATTAAAGTATCATCCGGCGGTGGATCCTTCGATAGCCGGAGCGTTTTCAGACGGCTATCAAGTGCATGGGAAAAGTCGAGTATAATTAATCTTATAACATACTTCTGATTGCTCCTTACCAAGAATAGTTAAATTTTCGTCATGAAACATCGTTGATTCATGCCAACTGTTTACTTATTGTCTAAAAAGATGAACAACTACAAAGACAGTGACAACAACAAATGAGTAATAATTTCAACACAAAATTGCAGGTTTTCTTTTCAAAAAGGAACCAAGAACTAAGAAATTCATTGATTTTTCATACGTTTATACACCTCTTCAGCTGCTTTACGTTGATCAGCATCGAAACGTGTATTCGCTGTGCTTGTCTCAGCTATCTGTATTTGTAGTGGATGTAAGTTTCTGGCCATTTGTATAAGTGTTGAACCGACATCAATTAATACAAACGCGGTAAACATTAATAAGAAGGAGATGATACCTGGAAGACCAAGCAGGCAGCAAATAATTCCCACACGTTTTAGTATTGTAGCGTGCTTTATATAATTGCCTGCTGTTTCACCTAACATTCCCTGTATCACCTGCATCATACGGATTTCAGATCGTCCTTCTTTCGGACAGGCTATGTGTAACCAGTCATTTCCACCAGTTGGGCGGATATCGATTTTTAGATCGGTTGGGATGCTGTGTTGAAATGGACACGGTAAGCATGCGGACTGACCATATTCTTCAGAGTATGTATTCTCTGGACAGGGGAGACAGGTGGTTGGATCATCATCTGTAATCCATGGTGGATAAAATACCGACCTAGAGTATTGAGCTGTTAATATTGGTTGATCGGCACTGAATGGATGGAATTCTTTATCGATTGCAGGTGGAGATGGATTGACGATACGACTTGGATAGTATGAACCTGGTTGACATAAATCTGTTTAGTCATATAAAAACATAATAAAGGTCAAATTATTTAATAAACAAGTGCTCATCAGAAAAATTTTACCAGTGATTAAAATGTAAGTTTTCAATAAGTATACCAGTAGACTGCTGTTTTGTCATGACGTGGGAACCAACGCCATTCTGTGCAATCTTCATTACTCACTGAAAAAACTGGTCAGTTAGTGTCATTCAGTTGTCATTTATAATCAAATGAAACCAAATCAAACGGCATCACATTTTATTTAGTAATTGAAAATAGATCTTATCAACAAATCTACCTGTCGAATACATCTCATATCTCAGTTACCTAGTAGGTAATGGCTTTACAGTTCAAGCGATGGTTGTTAAACTTGGTCGAAGTTGTAAGAGCCCCATAAAGATTCAGATATATCCAACTGAGCCCCCAAATAGAGAGGAGTGAACTTCCTGTTATCTATTGCTAACCACTGTCAAAGGAATATATCCTGAGATGTACAAATATAGACAACTTATACTGATATCATAAAAAAGAGTTTATAATTTCATTGTCATTCCATTCGCATAACTGATGCGTAAGTATTTCCTCTTCTCCTGTATTACATTTTTCCATAGGTATTGATTCATCCATATAGCATAAATTACTGCTATTCCTCTTGTGTTGAACTCTCTAACTCGGTTGTGTGTGCTGCTTGCTGCGTTTGTCCATAAAAGACTGTTTCGATTATGTTGTTCAGCACACTTCTGTTTATTCGCATCTGTATTACTAACTTCTACTTCTCCATCAAATAGTCAGTAACAGTGCACCCCGACGCTGGGTCTCCTAGCTTGTTGGTTACATTGCAAAATGATCAATAAAATTCGTTCACCACGTAGGACCAGACAACGTGAAACTGCTTGCTCTCCAGTGACCAATCAGTGTATCTGATCCAGTTCTGCAGAACATCAGTCACGGCCTAAATAGCTCAGTAGTAATGTTACTGACTACAATACTGGGTGACACAAGTCCGAGACTCACTCCGGTTACTCCTTGTTGACGGGTTCCAACAAGCAAGAAATTCAGGTCTAGTGCTTCCCGCCGATTCCCTCTAACCACCTAACAATAAAAGATACTAAAAAGCAGAATCCGGCAAGAATTCGCATCAGTTATGGTTGACGTGTTTCTAAGCAGCACATAGGGATGAAATACGCAATAGCAGTAACATGATGAGACAAACCCGAGTAATATGTTCGGAGAATGACTAAATGTGTAGTCAGTAATGAGATATTTAAGCTTTTGAAGAAGACAGTAAGTGCGTCTGCATGACTGTAATCAGTTACTAAACTTTCAGTGACTAGGGTCTCTAAACATTGGTTTCTAAAATCATACTGACTGTGACCAAGTAGTCTTCATTCAAACCAACACGCAGTGTTTTCAGAAACTAGTTTGATGTCCTTATCCGCCACTCTCTTGTTCCTTCATACCAGATTCCATTCAACATTGTGCGTTAGGGAAAATGGATAACTCAGCGTGTACAATTTATCCCCTAACAGTTTTAGTAAACAAAAGACTGGCAACATCGATAGACCTAATATTTGTTTGCAACTCTACGTCACAACTCGATACCGCTCACCCAACTATTCCACATTACTCTACGAACAATTCAAAGATAACTATGGTTTGGTACTTGTGACCTGTTCATAATTTTCATACTCAGACCCTACGTTCAGCAGCTGCACTTTAGGACAGAGCAAGCTTCAGTCAACAACGGCTATAATTAACATCAGCCTTACAGAATGAATTTATTATATAATTATTTGTCCCTTGGGTTCCTAGTGCGACATATGGCTTCAGTAGCACGTCTCCATTCCACTGTCTTCTCTGCAAACTTTTGAACCTGGCTCCACAACAGCCCACAAGCTCTCATTTCCTCATCGCACGATCTCCTCCATATCACCCCCGTCTCGGACGCTCAACTCGTCACTTCCCATCTGGGTTACACTCGAGGGACTGGCCTGGCCTGGCCTGGCACGTGATGTCCCCAGTCGGCCTTCTCAGTGTATGCCCAATCCATCTACACTTCCTTCAAATGCATATTTGTTGAGCAATAGGTTCTTGGTTTGTTCGTCCCCAGCCAGTCAGATTTCCTTGTTGCTTATTCTTTCTGGACATTTGAGCTTCAGTAACGAGCCAGCGTAGGCAGTTGTTGATGAATATCTGTAGTTTGTTGGAAATGCTTATCGTGACTCGCCAAGTCTCTGAACCATATAGAAGCACTGACTTGACTGGCATTGGTGTTGAAAATCCAGATCTTGTTCCACATGCTGAGTGCAGTGCAGAAGATCTCCACACTGGTTTCAGGATAATGAACGCCTGTCTTGCTTTGTCGATCCTGACTTTGATGTCCTCGTCTGTGCCGTCTGTAGTTGAAACAGTGCTGCCTGCATAGGTGAAGGAGGCTACTTCCTTTAAGTTTCTCTCGTTGATGGTGATTGGAGCTTGTTGTTGTTGGTGGTGTTGTTGGTTGGGTATCTTCATCACCTCTGTCTTCTCTACGTTCACTTGAAGTCCCGTCTCCCTTCGCTGCCTCGCCTCTTCTGTCAACTTGTTAATTTTCGCCTGTAGATCTTCGATTTTGTGCGACAAGACATTAGACATAAATCATCATCGGCGAAATCCAAGTCTTCTAGGTTCTTTTCTGCGGTCCAGCCAGCATGTCCCTCTCTTCTCGCTCCCCACTGTTTGTTGCATGATCCAATCCACTACAATCAGGAATATCATGGGTGGTAGTAGACAGCTTTGTCTTGTTTCACTCCTGTCTTCACTTCAAAGGCATGACTGAACTTCCCATTGTGAATTACTTAGCATGTGGTGTCTTCATATAGTTGTTGAATGAGATTGATAAAGGTTTGTGGCACTCCGTAGTGTTGAGGCAGTTTCCAAATTACTTGTTGGTCGACGCTGTCGGAGGCCTTTTCAAAGACGATGAAGTTGAGTTGAAGATCCAGATGACTACCACTCTACACTTTGTTCTATGATGATGCTAAGCGTTGCAATTTGGTCAGCACATGATTTGTACTTCCTGAAGCCAGCGTATTCTGGTCATGGTTTTGAATCCAGTGCATCCATTAGTCTCTCCAAGATGATGCAGCTCAATATTTTGCTTGGGGTGGACAGGAGCATGATTCCGCGCCAGTTCTTGCAAAGACTTAGGTCGCCCTTCTTCTGGAGTTTGGCAAGGTAACCCTTCTTCCAATCAATCTGCAGGTACCTTCCTTGCACTGGTTTATCTTCTGCTTCACCATGCTCCTCTCCTCTATCAGCTTCTATGTATCCGTCGAGATCCATTCCTTTACAGAATGAATACCTAACCTTTATTCTTTACAGTTTACATATTAAATGTTAGCCACTTGAACAATTTTAAAACATCACAATATGTAATTTTGATGAATTAGCGATACAAATAAGTCTTATAAGATAAAATTATTTGATGAAAACCGATTGTCAGTTGACTGAATGACAAGATCAACATGGAACTTAACACGTCAACTAACCGGTTTAAACCGTCATTACCAGTCTCTTCAGCAAAGCAACCAATCAATAAAATAAGCAAAAGAATCTGAGACAAGGTAAACGAAGAAATAAAGTTTAAAAAACAGGAAACTTACCTGTCTATTAAATGCATCGGTGCTTGTCTAATCATTTATGATCTATGTCATTCAAAGATGCCCTAACGATCGATTGCTACGACATAGAATCCCTCAGTCAACAAATCTAAAATTCCTTACACAGCTATGACTGTCAGTTATTCATGCCAAAGTCTGGTGTCGAAACTAAGATTTCAGTTACACAGTATTCAGTTCACCAACATAACTAAACTTAAGAGACAAATGTTAGGTTTGCACCATTTTAAAAACTATGGAATATAAGTCCTATATAAGTGTATGTACTCACAAATGAATGCAATAAAATAATGATTACTTTCACATTTCATAAACATGTTTTCTCCCATCTTCTTATCCATATCCATATATAAAAGTTACTGATGTGGAAGAAAAGTCTACAACTGATAAGAACTCAAAGTAAGCCTTTTATTGTTCCAATGGTAGTTTCATGTAGCCGGCCTTAATACTAGTACTACTGATGGAATTTTCTGCTTGCTTGTTTGGTTGAATTTAATAGTACTTATCTGTAGACACTTGAAGAGTCAACCTTCAGTATCATACTTAACTCATCTTCAGTTTTATCGGTCAGATGTGGCTTAAATTCTAAAGTCCTTGTTACTTAATATGAAATACATTAGTGTCTTTTAAGAATATAGTCAGAAGGTTATCACTGCACTATCCAGATCAGAGTTCATCCTTTGCATAAAGTATAGACATTTTTTCATAAATTTTAGTTAAGAAAAGTACACAGATCTAAGACATCAATTATTTCCTCCGAACGGCGAATTTCAAGTACCTTAAATTAGTTTCAGGTTGGAACTCATCATAGACTGATATAATTTGGAGGACCATTGCAAACCTGAGAGCACTGGACAGCTATTTCACCCTAGTATGGGACTCCTCAGCAGTGAGCACCCGTGGCCCAACCTCCCAGGGACCGAACCCACGACCTTCAAGCTCCGTGGTCAGCACGTTACCACTGAACCACTGGGTCGGAATCCAGTGGTCGACATTTCTTACTTCTGTCAGTTCACAACATACCGCGACCTTCATACAATGTCGTCATCGAGTAACTGTCTTAATGTTCCACCTGGTTCACTCTACTAGTCACGATTTCTCACTGGAACTTCGGGAATCATCTCTCGAAGTTAGTCACCAATAAGCGCTAGATTAATTCTATCTGGGAGTTTGTGCAGATTTATTAATTGATTTCAGGTTGGAATTCATCATGGTGTCGCATCGCTTGGAAACACAGACTACCATAACAACTTACATCCTAAACACTGCAACTGTGGACCACTTTGGGCATACAGAACAATAAGTAGTCTTATGTGAATGACAACGAACGTAGTTCTGTTTAGTAGCGTTAGAAATCGTTATAAAATAATGCAGTTTTACACAACCATAACTGTGACAACTTTTTACGAAATGGCCATCACCTATTAAGATTTGAAAAATTATTGTTTGGAAGGCTAAAATATACCTATTGACACTATTACCAATATGTATTATGAATCACTATAACTTATAATGCGGAAAATGCACAGAGCTAATTTTAAGTTTATGAGGTAGCAATAAGACAAAATAGACAACTATACAGAGCTTACCGCATTCACTGTGTGAAGGTACAAGTTTTCCTGATGGTCCCATACAATAGTGAATAGATCGATAAGAGTAAGTGAAGTGAACTTTAATCTTTTCAGATGAAAATCTATCCTTCAGCTTTTTAGTTACATTAGATTTTGTTTTAGACATTTGACTTTGAAATTTTTTTATGAACTGAAAGAAGAATGAAATTGAGATAACCTTTATGCCTCATTATATGGTAAGCATATGTCAGTGGATATGAGTGTTAGCAATATATACCAATAGAATATACTACATATGCTGATTCTGTCTCTATCTAGAAAAAGATTGAGCTGAATATAAGTTATGGTTATTGAGGTTTAGATGCGGCACCAATTCATGACAACACTGTCGTCTTCAACCATCAGAGGAAAATATACGTTACCTAGATAGGCTCTTAAGATGTTAGAAAGAGATATTTACTAATTTGCTTTTCATTTTCTGCTTTTTTGATGTCCCAAACTATAGAAAGCTGGACTTATCTACCACTTTGCAGGTTTTTGAGTTTTTCTATCTTACTTCTGAGGTAAACCTTGATTTATCGTCTAACTAACATCTCTCTACTGTCTACTGCTATCAGATGTTCTTGCCGTATTCAATAAAGCTGAATGCCTACGACTTGATATTTCAACGAAACAATCTCTTGGGTAACTAGCTGTTGTCTATGGCATGTGAGTGGCATAACTGCTACTTTTCACCATTAAATGTGCTTAAAACACCAGGACAAAGAGTGCGAAGTCAACAGAGACAAACAGAAATTCAGGAAGTAGCTCGTGTAAGGGATAGAAAGTACAATTTTAAGGTTTGTGGGGATTTTTATTTCAAAGTAATATCTGTCATGGACTGATGTCAGTTGTAGAACTATTGGTAACCTGGGAGGACTGGAGAGAAATATTTTCACCAGGGCTGTTACTTTATGAACCTTGAAATAAGGAATAATTCAAATATGTTGTTACTACTTAATAATGAGACGTAGTGTGGAACAAAACGCGGAATATATAGTTAAATCCGCGGTGCTGCAGCATCGCATGATATGAGGACATCAGTCACTTAAAAGCAAAAAGAATTTATTTTAAAGACACTCAGCTTGTAGATAACCAGGTTACAAGGTTACTGTTGAGTAAAACAGTGCAGAAAATTTGTGGGTGACTTTAAAGGCTACCTTAGAAACTGATGAGACAGCTAATTACATTACTCCATTTCACAGAAAAGTATTTTCCCAGGGGAAATATCGAGGCCTGATTGGTGCATTCAGCGGTTGCTAGGGTGACCTTTAAAGTCACTTAAATTTGTAGAGTACAAAATATTCAAGGTGTCAAATCGAAACCAAACGCAAATTAGAACGAATATTTTTTAAAAATACAACTAAAAATGTTGGTTTTATTAGCCACTTAGATTGACTTTCACACTGTGGATAACCAGGACGGATCAAGAGCCCCCACAACTCTGTCAGCCCTCAAGCTCTCTCAGATCACTATCCACCTCCCTCATCATTACCTTATAATCTTCCTTCACGTCTCTCAGTTAACAATCCTATGTCATCTTTAATTTCTTCTTTGACAACGATCTAAGTCCCTAGAACAGCATTCTTGGTCTCCTTAAACCACACTCCAAATTACACATTGGAGCCTTCAACGTCCTCACCCTCCGTCGAATTGGTCAACAGGCTTCATTGGCCAAGATTCCAGCAACTAGGGCCATAGATGCTTGCTGTGGTTGTGAGACGCCCACAGGACCCAAGTGCGGTTATCCACCAAACTTCTCCCGGCCAATCTGGTGAATCCGCGAAATTCACCCTTTCAGTTTCTGGAGACTCGACGACTAACTCTCGCGGTCGTGCAGGTGTAGGTATAAGATTAAGCACTAGGGCAGGAAGCTCGCTGATAGACTGGATTGAAGCTGACAGTCCCCTATGCAGAGCGCGTCTGAACGGCTCAGTGAGAACAAAAAGGAATAGTGAAACTCTCTTTGCACTCCCTGATCACGCACTCACTGACTTCAGTTCGAATGAAGTGAAAGATGAGTTCTACTGTAAACTATCTAGTCTGCTCCTGAAAGCCAAATGTTCAGATGTGGTGGTTGTTGCAGGTGGTTTGAATGCAAAGGTGGTTGGACTGAGTGAGACAGAAAGGCACTTAGGTGGCACTTTCGGAATCCTGACTGAATGAACAGATAACGGTGATCGCCTACTACAAATGTGTCAGATAACCGCTTATTTTTAGCTAGCAAAAATTTCAGACATAAAGAAAGACACTGTCTGACGTGGCATCTACCGAGCTCAACTCAGCGATGAGCACAGATAGACCATATTGCTATCAGTCATTGCTGGAGAGGAAGTCTACCGCTCGTTCTGGAGTAGGTGTTTGGATAGCAACCAAGTGTTGGCTGGAACGCGTATATGTTTGCTTCTCAATGGACCTAGAAAAAATAAGACCACTACGAGTGCAGCTTTCAGTGAGAAATTGGCTAGGCAGTTATCGTAACAGAACATTATCAGTCATCCAGAAAATGCTTGAAGCCATCTCCTATGTCCTGTAAAAACAGCGTTGAAGACCATAGCCAACTGTCTAAGAGTGGTTAAAAAGAGCCAGTGAATATCAGCTGTCTTCTGAATTGATGAATGGATGGGGACACATCTCTACAGGCTCTGACTACAAAGAGAAACGAATGCAACTCAGATATAGACTGATAAAAAGTCTACTCAATGACCACGAACAGTGTTAGGCTGCCAAAGCTAAAGAGATGGAAAAGGCAGAGACGGACTTGTTCCTAAAGTATGTAACGACAGTGGTAGACTGTTTTAGTCAAGTTAACTGAAGTGTTAACTAATGTGTAGGAGTCAAATATGTTCCCGTCAGACTGGTCTAAATCACTGATTATCCCAGTCTTCAAGAAAGGCGAGAAGTCTTCTTGTGACAAGCACAGAGAAATCAGCCTGACGAACATAGTGTCTAAGTTTCTATGTTCTGTAGTCATTAGACGCATGAGTGGAGCTCGCGAACAGCAAGTCCGAGAAAACTAGACAGGTCTTAGACCTGGGCGCGGGCGCATCGACCAAATATTCACACTGCGCCAGGTTTTGGAACACAGGCACGCTTACCGACGCCCAACACAACTGTATTTCTCGACCTGAAGGCGGCATTCCACTCCAACGATCGAGAGTTCTCAAGGCAATGTCTCTGGCTGTAATGGGTAATGAGTGAGTAAATCACCTTATTCATGGCTCTTTACTCGGACACCAGTGGGGGTGTTGGAGCCTATGGTGAGATGTCCGGGAGCTGTGCTGGTTGAGTGGTGTCCTTCAAGGGTGCTCACTTTCGCCATTCTTACTCAGTTTTATCATAGACTTTCTTATGGAGGCGAGCCACTCGTGGTCTGACTGCACAGAGACTGAGCTAATCACAGGAGACATTTTGGTGGATCTGCATGACATAGTGCTGCTAGATGCAGACATTTTAGAGATGCAGGGTCTCCTGGACACTTTGAGTGGCAATTTTAGAATATTTGAAAGACGTTTCTCCCCATCCAATGCAAACTGTTGCTCCATAACTGGTCTTCAACGATGCTTCGGCTAAAAACAGAGAGTGGGGTGATTGGGTGGGGTGAACAATTCACTTACCTGGGAAGTAGGATCAACCTTAGTGGATCAGTGGCTGAAGAAATCTCTGCACGGAAACAAAAGGCTCGATTGTCTTTTGCCAACTCACGCCATTTGTGGCTCTGCCACGATATCCGATTGTCTATGAAGAGTGGAGTGCAGTGTGCCACAGTCCTCTACTGTATGGCTTTGAATCATGGGCATGAGAAGAGTTCAGCGTTGTTGTTCACCGTTGTCTTCATAGCATAGGCTGCATTTCGTGACGTCACCACGCGAGTAACCCAGAAGTCAGGTGTAGAGTTCTAGGGAAGAGAGGTAAGTCAGTTGACACGGTTGTGAACCTTCATCGACTGAGATAGCTAATACGTGTTACGTATACCTAGCCACCGTCTGCTTTGTCCCACAATGTTGGCTGAAGCAGGTTCGGACTAGAAAATGGTTCTGGGCAGCCAGACTAAAACATGGTATCACTGCATGAAGTCCTTGACTGTTGGTATGAGCCATATAGGGCGATGCAGACTAGCTGGTTGGGGTCCGCGAGACAAGAGGAACCGGTGGTTGGAGACTCTAGGTGATAGGGTTCAGAACCGGCATCAGTGGCGCATGTGTATACACACATTATCCTCATCTTAACGGCTACACTTAATCTCATCACTTTTTCATTCCTCCTCCCTCTTTTTCACTAATTTCTAATTCTTTTGACAGATTTTCCTTACTTTCTTTATCTTCCACTTCATTGCCTGATTATTTGTTGTGCTGATGTGAGGTGTAGCAACTTGAACCATTATGCACTAATTTCTGGTCTTATGTGAATTTTAATGATTGATGATGAGTCACTAAGGCCATGGGGAATGAATTCTTATGAAATATGAACTGAATTTTTAATATCTGTTAAATCATACACACATATGTACTTGATATCATAAGGTATACGTTTTCTCTATTCTCACGAAGTATGAAAACTTTGTGGTATAAACAGATAACATTCATGAAAGGATCTGTTCATAGTGTACATTAGTTTAGTTTGAAAACTTTAGATAAACGTTTACCAAGTACCGTTATTGTGGGCGGACTTTAGACTGATTGTAAATTAGTTACGAACTACATCGCCCTTTTACTTTGTTAGAGATTACAGTCAGAAAATTAGTACTGATGGTGAGAATAGTGGCACCTTTTCAGATTATAAAATGCCGAAATAACTCCACAAATAGGAAATAAGAATATTTGGATGATAAACGAATGAGATGCAGTAAGGAAAAAAGACTATTATGATACTGGGGATTTAGCGGAAGACGGATTTTGTCTATTTTTATCACTTCTCAGATATGAAATCTAAGGTTTTAAAATTATTAACTATTGAAATCTCGGGGGTAAATTTAAGAAGCTGAGATAGACTATAACAGTTGATAATCCACTCATTTGAAAGCATTTTTTATTCGGTCACTTCGAAGTTTACTTGAAGCTACCTCTAATCCACCTACAGTTGACTTACAACCCCAGGTGGTAGTTCAGGATTTGAAATATATAGCTGATCGCTCACATGTTGAGTTGAACCTGGATCAAATAATTTGTCTTACTTGTCTATAACTCTTAATGAAACCTTGAAAGTAATAACGTTTTGGGTCATCATGCTTGAATAATATTTTTACGGACACTTGTGACTTCCAGATTCAGTCACTATGTATTATTGGAACAGCTTGACATGGGCAATCTCCAGTCTTCTGTCTCCCTTTCACCAGAGTAGTTGTAAGTTGATCGACGTCAATTCATTTATGTATTGGGTTAACAAACAAATTATTTAGTCCTTCATCCTCTGTTCCTTCGAAGAAATAGTTAAGTAAAGTCATTCGTAATATAAACACTAACTAACCTCGTCGAAAAGTTGAAAACTTTCAGATTCCATGGAATAACTTCTTACGTTATCCAAAATGAATGTTAACTCAGTATAGTGCGTTGACTTTGATTCACTTTGTTTATTCATGCACAGAAAATCTTCAAGGTAAAAATTTGTACAGAATGTTGTGTCTTCACATAATGATTCACAAGATTCTTCTAAATCTTTTAATATATAATGCTTAGGATGGTCGATTTCTTCACCGGCAATTAATTCACCAGGACTAGTTTTCAGTTGGCAATCACATGTATAATTATCCTGCTTACATTTAACTAGTAATACTTTTTCATCCATTTCCACATCTACTTTTATACCAATAATTTGTTGTAATACAGCTAAATTAATAAAGATTATTTCATGTGAATAATAATAATCATAACTATGACTATTTGAATGCAAAACTTGTTTATGACACCATATTGTAGATGGTCTTGCAATCATTGCCCATATTGTCAAAACTCCATAAATATCCCAATTTGCATGAAAAAATGCTCTATGTGGTAATAATTGCCTACCATTGAACAACCATTCATAAATTACTAATTCACTTCTGTTTATGGAATTTCCATATTCTTCATCATTAGAATTTTTATTGTTATATTCACATGGTAATGTTGCAATGTGACCAATAATTAAACGATGCTTGTAATAAACAAGACTTTGGTTTATTTTTAAAGTAGATTGAAAGAGATCATGTTTAATTGGATATTGAAACAGAGACAATAAATTATACTGTGGCAAACCTAAACATAAAATCTGGATAAAAAGTAGTACTGATAAAGATGTCATCACATTCTTTGAATGTGATATTGAATGAAAATCTACTTTAGGTACAAATTAAATTGGTATAAGCAGAAGTTTGATAATGAATAAATTCATTGAACACTGAATCTAACGTATAAGCCTATGGGTACACGTGAATTAGAAATTTATTGATTTTCCAGCTTTTAAATATACTAGTGAACTTGATACTTTGCATTAACCACAATAAAGTCTGGGTTAATCCGGTACCGCAACGATAATAGATACAGGTTATTAATATTTGCTTCCACGTAATTTTACGGCCTTTAGACGTGGCTTTTATATTTCTCTTCTTACATATTTTTTTCCTCGGTTAAATAAAGTTTCTTGGTTATTCAGAAGAAAGGCTGAACCATTTCTAAGGAACATGCAAGGTGCCGATTCAACCGACAAAGATTGAGTTATTAATTGAGTTAGGTGTAAAGCGATTATACTCTCACTTTTACGTGATAACGTGAGAACCTCTGTCAGAAGTATTACTCAAAATAGCATTGTGAAAAGAAAAAAATAATAATGATAACGAAAACAACTCCATAGATGTAAGTATAGGGTTTTTAGCACTGTCATGAAATGTAATTCCATATTTAATAAGTTTATTTTGATGAAGCACCTAGTGACCTGGTTTTATTTATCAGATGATGTTTCGGGCACAATTTATTGCTCATATTTATATCAAGCATACAGCAGATAGAGTTATCGAATATGGTGAAATCAACACCATCTTGCAAAATTTCAGAGTCCCATTTTCGCTTGTTTAAAGAATGGGTTATACAGCGAAACAGTATTATTTGCTGGATAACGTTTTGGACAATTTTTTAGGCATATTAATGGACAATAAGTTGTGTTCAAAAAACTATCCAGTTAATAATACTGTTTCACTGTGTAACCCGTCCGATAAACAAACCGAAATGGCATTAAAACCTGCCATACTACCAAAGTTTTGCTCCTGGATTAAACTTCACTATTGTTTTAATTTTAGCATGCAGGGGAAAGACATCAGAGACTGTATGTTTAAATGCTAGTTGGATGGAGGCAGTCGGTGGGAGTCCCCAGAATCTTGATTTTATCCATTTTGGCACTTGTCAGCAAGGCGTATCTGTAACCCCGATGGAACTGATATCCCATCTGAAATTGAAACCTGCGTCGTCACCCGCTGCTTCAGTCAGGACATCAGTTCCATGGACGTTGTAGATACGCCTTTCTGACGAGTGCTAATACGTACGGTATCTAAGTCCAGAGCTTCCTGCCGACTACCTCTATCCAACTAACATCGATCTCAGTGCATCACGATAGTGAGTCTTTTAGCCTGGTGGCCACATAATCGAGAGAATTCAGTCAGTACTTCGAAACAGACAACACAAAGTTGGTCGGCCTTCAGTGACCAATAAATGTACAGTGTGTATAATCCAAATCAACAAACTCACTTGGGAATCCTATTAAGTCTTTTAGACAACGATTTCTTCCATGAAATTGGACATTATAACTGAAGTTAAATATTAAAGTCAAAGTGGCCGACTAGCTTTAATTAGGTTACGAAAGCATTGAAACTTTGCTAAACTGAAAGTGTCAGAGCCCAGTAAAGTAAATGAAAAACCTAGAAATGAGTTCAACCGTAGTTATGCATGTTATCCCATTGAATAAAAGGTCACAGATCCGAAATTATTACTATATGTTCATATATCACTCGTAGCTGAAGTTAGTGATCTTAAATATCACAAGAAAGAAACAGCATTTTCTGTTACATATCTCAGTTTTAGGTCCATAGATATTGAAGAGGCAACTACAAAACCAAATTTAGTCAATGACAGTGTACTCTTCGCTAAAAAATTTCCAGACTATATATATTCGCTACAGAGATGACCTTGAGCTCAGGCGATACAAAGCAACTAGGCTTGCATAAATAAGATTCCAATGGATTAGTCAGCTACAATCGTAAGCTCTAATTTTTACAATTCCTATGTACTCTGATTGATAAATTTGTCAATATTTTGCGAGAAATTAAAACGGCGTGGTCAAATTCGATCAATTGTTATCTAGAGAGAATTATTTCTTTAAACATATACGTGATCTAACATTGTAGCAGAAGGAGATATTTTTAGATGGAGTGGTAACCTTCACTTAGCCACTGAGACATTTTTCTATGTTACTCTGAAATAGCCTAGTTATTAACAAGTGCCTTAATTTGTCATCACATAACGTCGTTAATTTATTTGGTGATGCCATTCGGTTATCATGTATTCTGTGAATATTATAATTCTTATGTTGTAATTATATAACATATAATATATATATATATATATATATATATATATATATATATATATAATTATATTATAATCATTATATTATAATAGAAAAGTCAATGCATTATGGACATTTTTCTAACGGTAACTTGAATGCTTGTGTGCGTGTGTGTGTGAAGTGAAGGGTGGAGAGGGAGCTGATCTTACTGTACTTATATCTAGGTTAGCTGCGCAGTAGACTGGCGATCAAATTCGCTACTCCAGATCACCACTACGGTATCACTAATTCACCAAGATCGACCAATGACGTTTCATTGAAACCTGACTAGCTGTTTATGTTACCAACAATATTTAGGTTGAAAACTCTATAAGAAAAAACTAGTATTAGTGAATTATTACTGTCACTTCTGCATTACAATATGATCAAAGTGAAATAATTATCACCTATCTTTAAATAACGAATAGCCAGTCATAGAGGTATGAAGGTTGGCAGCTCATTAATAAACTTCCGTCAATAAAAATTAGGGGGCCACTTTAAAGGCCACCCTGGCAATTGCTCTAATGGCAAGTTAGGTTTGGGTATTCCGACTAGAAAGGTAGCTTTTCATAAAATGTAAAGGCCTAATTGGTTATCTCAGCAGTTGCTAGAGTGGCCTTTAAAGTCACTCAAACTTAAGCCGCTGTGAAGCATCATAAAGATTTATAGAACTTAAGGAGTGGATAAATTCAAGCAAATCAAATTTTTGTTTGAAGACAGCAAGATGGAAAGCTTGGAACATGAATGAGAAACAGCTATATGCGAAAAAAGTAACCTGCTCGTTACCAAGATAGTAATCATCGTGGAGTGACATCAGTTGCAGAGCCAAAGAAAACCTGGGAGCACTGGACGGCTGTTTCGTCCTAGTGTGAGACTCCTCAGTAGTTCACACCCACAACCCCACCTGGGACAGAACTTAACCATCATGTGTTGCGGCGAGTATGCTACCACTCATCCACTGGGTCAGAATCCAATAGTTCACATTTTCCTATCTCTGTCAATCTGCGGATCAGAAATGCGATCACACAGTGCCATCAGCGAGCTACTGTCCCGACACCTGATTTCATCAACTTCATGGTTCATTGCTTCTCATAAGAACTTCGGAAATCTAACTCACAGTATGCCACCCATGTGAGGTAGAAAATAATTCACTGTAAATCATTCACCACATTTCATCATCTTGAGTGAGCACTGTTGAAGAGTTCCTTATTAGGAAGAAACAGCTGTCTAGTGATCACAGATTTTCAGTGGTTCTCTAAATGACGTCAGTTTGTGATGAATACTGCAATGAAGTCTCAATGTTTCACTTACTATACGCACTAATGTAGATGCAATCGTTATTGTGGCACTTAAAGTGAACGTAGAGAAGAGGTGATGAAGATACCAAACCAACAACAGCAAGCGCCAATCACCATCAACGGGAGAAATCTAAAGAAAAATGTCTCTTTCATCTACTTACCTAGACAGCATGGTTTCAATTACAGGTGGCGACACAGATGAAGACGTCAAAACCAAGATCGGAAAGACAGCAAGACAGGCCTTCCTTCATTAGTCTGAAATCAGTGTGGAGATTTTCTGCACTCAGCACAAAGAACACGATCCGGGCTTTCAACATTAATGTCAAATCAGTGCTTTCATGTGATGGTTGAGAGACGGCGCGTCACGGAAAGCATTTTCAACAAACTGCAGACATACATTATCAACAGCTGCCTGCGCTCACTCGATACTGAAGACCAGATGGCCAGAAAGAATAAGTAACGAGGAACTCTGGCCCGGCAACGAACCAACCAAGAAGCCATCACCCGACAAACATGCAGAAGAAAGTGGAGACGGATTGGGCATACACTGGGAAGACTGTTTGTGGACATCACGCACCAGGCCCTCCAGTGGAAGCCAAATGGGAAACAACAAGTTGGGTGTCCAAGGGTGATCGTATGAGGAAGAAATGAAAGGTTGTTGGCAGTCGTGGAGCCAGGTTGAAAAGACTGGAGAGAAAACAGTGAAATGGCAACGTGCTAGTGAAGCCCTATGTTCCACTAGGAACCCAAAGGACTTATTATTAACTTACTTGAGTGTTTGCGAATACCAGATAGCGATTAAAAATCTATTCTGGCAACCAGTATCTGAGTATACAAGTCCAAGTTACTACTAATTTAAAATACTAATCCATAGTTCCACCTCAGAAAGAACACAGAATTAATGAAGTTCTTCCGGACAGTTACAGGAACAAATAAGATCTACAACCAGTTTTAAGTACATCAGGGAAATAAAAAATCAACAGATGGAAATATGATAATTTGGTTGGTTTGTGGCTAACAGAAGATTCCAGGACGCGCGTTACGTCCTATTCGGGACTCGTCAGCTGGACTTACCTGCACCCCAGTTATGTTGTTCCCACTAGGACTCGAACCTCGTGCCCATCGCTTCAAACGCCAAGGCGCTATCCACTATGCCACGCGGGAAGGGCGGCCACTTCTTGTACAACGAGTAGCAGTTATTACTATTTATTGACACACTTGTTATTCTCCGTTGTTTTGTGGGATCGAATTGTTCGACCTCTGTTGACATATTGCAACAACACCACTGGGTGCAGGTATATCTAGCTGACGAGCTTCAAATAGGACGAAACGCATGTCCTGGAATCTTCTGCTAGCCACAACCAACCAAACTGTCATAATTAACATTCAGGCAATATCGAGGCATCCGCATAGGAGCCCATATGCCAATAGAGGTCGAACAATTCGATCCAACAGAACAACGGAGAATAACAAGTGTGTCAATAAATAG